CGACGCCGACGCCGGGGCGACTACAATAGCTCTCATATTCTTCGAATAGTCGAGCTAACAACATACAGGATCTTTAAAGATACGCTTGACAGCTTTGACACAACCACTTTGGCGTCAGAGCTGTTATATAATTTAAGGTATTAATGACCGACTGGCGAGTATAATAGCGGTGATATTTTTTCACATATGTTCGTAGCAAAATGGCACTGTCCTAAAGTATAATATATGACCTTATATCTTTCTTTTCTGTGAAACTACATATTTTTCTTCAAATGCATGTGTATGAAAATTTATAGAATCTTTTTGACATCGTAAATAAGTAAAATTGCGAATTGCCTGACCTTTTAAACACCCATTGTTGGAAATTAATAACGCCATTTATAGCGCCTTGCATAACGTGACATTAACTACAACGCATTTTGTCTAGTTACTATACACCCCCACACCCATAGTGTTTTTAAATGTAAAAAATTGTAATAGTGATACGATAAGATTTATTTTGGTTTAATGTACATACATGATAATATAACACATGGAATGTGACAAAACATAGCACAAAAATGGACACGGAAACCATGACATGCATACTAACACCTAGTGATACCACAAAAAAGGGTTAACCCTTATTTCTATTACGGTCCCTAAGTGGCTGTGGCATGACATAGAGGGGCAATTATAATACTTGATGAAAAATATCACAGAAAATATCACAAAGAATAGTGTCACGGTCAATTGATCACATATGCTTAGTATTATGTTAATATTATCATATACAATCCACTGTAGACTAGATTTAATCCTATTATAGGAATAAGCAAAACTAAACATTTATATCACAGATAGTTAAATATGTGTGCTTTTTTTAATATTGCCCCTGTCAAAGAAATTCGCATTAAACAAAGGACCAAGCCATGGGTAAATTCTGACAGTTTACATTAATTTTATCAGGGAGACAAACATTAAAAAGTTTTAAATGTGATCAAAACATGATATAAAATGATTTTTGTCACATGGTGTTTCACAGATTGAACATGAATAGTCAAAAAGACACTGTACCAAAGACATAACATATAATTTAAGTACGTTGGGTAAGATAATCATTTTTCCTGTAAAGAAATTTTATCTGGCATTTGCCTTTTTAAGAATGCTTTGTGCCATGACCTCAAAAGATAGTTGCAACAAAATACTAAACAGAAGATGTGGGTATTATATCATAACTATTATATGTGACCTGGAAGTTAGGACCCTTTTTAAGTTTTAACATAAAAGGGCCTAGAATGCACCCCTGAGGGACACCACAGGTAATGGGAGCAGTAGTAGAATGAGTACCAGCCATATCCTTCAGTTGCTTTCTATCAGAGAGATAAGACTCGAACCTTGTAAGAATTTCATTAACTATGCCAGATGATTGAAATTTCATGTGCAGTATAATGTGGTCAACTGTATCAAATGCCTTTTATAGATCTAATATAATTGTGCCTACAATATCGCCTTTGTCCATTCCATTTGTTAAATGAAGCCTGACTGAAAATGATTAACTGTCCATGAAATAAGTCTCAACTTAGTTATATAAAACTCTCTCAAAATTTGGAATCATTTGATCTACTTAAAATTGAAACAGGTCTACAATTATCAACATGTGTTTTGTCATTTTTCTTGAACAGAGCCATTTTTAGATCACCAGGCACTATTTCTTGTATCAATGATAAAAGTTGACAACATGTGCTAGAGGACTTGCTATAATCGACGCCCTATCTTTGACAAAACGAGATTAAGCATCATCCAGACCTATGGCTTTATTTGCACTAAGGGAGTTAAGGCATGTGTAAACCTATTTTCAGTTACTAGTGTAAAAGAAAAAAAATGTTTTATATAACCCCTTCGTAAGCATAAAATGTGTTAACAAAATCTTTTCCATACCTCTCTATACCAGCAGGTATTTTTTTCAAAAAGTTTAGCTGCAACAGTAGCGTAAAAAGAATTGAAAGATTCAGTTATGCCATTTTTATCATACCAAATATTGTCATCAGGCCAATATTAGCTTGTGATGATGATGACATTTTCTTGGAAGGCAATACTAAATCCTTTAGAGATTTAGATATTTTTTGTTCAACGGTTTCCACAAAGAAATCCTTTTTTGCATTTTATATGACTTCTTGAGTATTATTTCTCAAAGATTTAACAGTTTCAAAATTTTCATCAGTTCCTTTTAAAACAAAATCTTTGTATCTCTTATTAAAATAAACTGTTATAATTTCCTTATATTTTTGCATATCAATCAGGTATTCATAAAAATAATTGCCTTCCCACTGAATAGATGTCTGGTTCACTAACCGAAACACGATAGGTTCGTTTAGAAACAAATACATCTTAAAGTCATCCATTTTTCAAGATAAATAACCGTACAAGAAATTATTATGTCATCGTTATGCAAGCTATGATCACATTTTTAAATGACTTTGCATTGAAAACTAACTTATTCGAGTTAACCAGTTTTACTGAGGCCGAGTATCTGTTATTTAAAGATACTTCTTGTTATTTTACTCCGAAATTTGCGATCTTTACATTGTTATATAAACTTGACACTGTACATAGTGGATGTCCCTATAATGAATCATTGTCAAGGACGAATTTTAGACTACCATTATGTCCAGTTTGAAACGTGCTTCCGGGCGAATGTTACAAAATCTAAAAATTTCAGTTCGATCGCAAACATTTGTTTCTAAGCAGACAAGTGTCATGTAACTTTTCTTCCCATTTTTTCCTTTTTCACTGTGTCAATGCAGTAACGCAGGAATGTGAAAATAACGCACGAGTTGTGCAATAAGAAACGAGGAATTGTGCACTAAATGGCGGATACCCGACAGGATAACCAACGCGGTAAGTAAGCTGGCCAATATATTTTTTATTCAACCGAACTGAAAAAGAAATAGCCGCATACGGCTGCGAAGACATTACTCTTTATCCCTCATCAAAATTTTTTCCACGAAATTGTTTACTTTTCAAGACCATTCCTGAAAATGATGGCTTAACCGCCTTTTTGTGCGAGATTTTTTTTTCATTTTCACATCTGTTGTACATGTTTTCATATGATTATACTAAGAGAGCTACCATATATGTGTCCATTTCCGGGTTTCTGAAAAAAGTTTTTATACCTTCTTCTTTCCTTAAGGATTTACTTCAAATAGAAGTCTCGTATCACCATCTATATAAGTGTTACTATTTGAACTAAATCTAAATAATTATATATCTACCTGTGATAATTAGAATTTGGAAAAAGAACTTTTACTCGAAGATCTTAGATAACTATGTTTCTTGCCATCACTCAATTTTTAACAACGTTCATAGTTACTGTACATTCATTCCAAAAAGTTGTCGCCCTTTTCAACAACAAGAATCTTGTTTTTTTTAACAACAAGAATCTTGTTTTTTTTTGTACTGTATCTTGTTTGTGATTTATTTTTCTTTTATTTCATATAAAATTTCAAATATTTTTGAATACAGGTATCCTAATCCTGGTATCCCTACCAGACCTTTTGATAGGGTGCAATAATAACCCCCCCCCCCCCCCCCCCTCGGTTTTTGCATATAGAATTTCTACAGCGAACATCATTCACATTAAAGGTAAGATACAAGTTCAAAATGTTTTTAACTCCAACTTGCACTTCTCACTTCCCCTCGGAGCGTGCACGTCGCTGAGAGCCTTCTCAGCGTCGGCAGACGATTTGAAGACTGGGGACAACGAAAAAAGATCGAAACTCGTGCTGCGGATTAGCTGCCGGTGTCCTGACTAATGCCGAGGGGAGTGGCCCTACAAAGTAGGCGCTTGGGTCGACGAGGACGGTGTGCTAGGGTGCGTGAGCCCCTAGCACGGTTAGACGGCTTGAACGGCAGGCCTTTTGCTGGCGCAAACAGCCCTTTTCAGGGCTACCCTTTCATATTGTCACAGGTTACTGTACATTTAGGTTCTCATTGACCGCCGTACAGTGACCTACTTTTGGCTCAAAATTCATATCTTTGGCTAATACTCCGTGGAAATTGCATAGAGGTAAATTATCACCACTTTGTGCTTTAAAATTAACTCTTTAAGGACATGACTGGTGGCATGTCCGGGGTCCGTACTCGACAGCGAAAGCTGCATTTTGTGCCCAAAAGGGCGGATGGACCCTCATTAAGTTTAAACTTCATCATCATCTCCAACTTGCAACTTAGGCAAGAACATACAGCAGTTTAGGCACTAGCTTGCATAAGAGGTCACAGAAGCATGTTAAAGGACTCCTTAGGAACCTTAACAATAAATAGTTAAACAGTATATGTCACCATTCCTTACATCATGTAGTACATCAAAAAGTAGGTTTAAAAGATTAAAGCTAGTTTTTAGTCTCTACGGGCAGTACAGAAACTGGAGTACAGGGGTGTGGACATTTTAAGTTATCGGTTTCACGGTTGCAGGTGTTGTGTTACCTTCTCGCGAACAAACACCCAACTTATAATCCGGGCGATTTCTAAACACACGGTCTCTTATTCTAAGTACATGTTTACGAAAAGAGCCAATGTTCACGGTCAAAAGCTTTAATACAATTCCTTTTAAAAAGCTATTTCAATTTATTCAACATTAATTTTATAAGTAACCTCCTTTTTGTTATCTTTATAATCATGATATTAAAATTACGATGTAGTGATACTTCTAGACCAATGCTCGCGGCTTTTTTTCTTCAATTGACTACAAAAAATGCAAGGAAACGCTGCAGAAACCTTTTAAATATTCGCAGGGACAAGCGCTGTCTAGAGATTCTGCAAATTAGCAGAAAGATGCAAAATCAGAAAAATCATGCCGGTTGCGACTGATAACTAATGTTTACAAATGATAGAAGAGACTTAACAAATTGATAATTGTGTTAAATGTACCATAATTATCACTCATATCCGCTCCTTATACAGATAACCCGATCAGCATTTTTATAACCTTACTTATTTTCAACCTGGGTTGCACTTTTTTAGATATTCGTTGGGAATTAAGTACTAGCGTGCGGACAAAAGCTCTTCCTTGTGGATATTAAGGAGGTATTTATTTCTTTCTGATTTTGGAATTTCGTTATATTTATCATTAATGTTAGATTTTTGACGATATAAAGATGGAATAGTACACCTTTGTTAGTTATATTTTGCATAGCATCTACATGCTACTGTAACAGCTAATCGCATAATTGTGTTATTGTACTGTCAAAGTTTTGCCAGAGCTCTTATTCGTTTTTTTTTTCAATTTTGTAATGGCTATGAAATATAATTATATATAGTTAATCATTAAGATTTTAAGTGTTGTATTACTATTGTTGTATTATTATGTACAAAATACACGTAAACATGGATATGCTCGGTGATTGTTTTAGAACATATTAAGAATGTTTGTGTTGTTGTTACCATGGTGACGCGTGTCAGAAAGGGCTGTGTTACAAGGCATTTATATAAATTACCAAGTTTTAAGGGTTGTTTTGTATAAATTCTCCGATGTGTTTTTTTTTTTTTTTTGCATAAATTCACTTAAATATGCAAACGATACATTGCAACAAAATAATTGAATACTTCTAACTCAGTTTAAAAATTAGATATTCATGTACGAATATATACCAATTAAAATATCTTATTCATTTATCAACATCCGGGAAGTGTGTATATAAAATATTTTCTAATTAACATTTTCCATTATTGTCTATGCATAAACTTTTTTCAGCATTTTCCAAAACCATGGAATTTAGATACACATGATTGAACCCTTGCGGATACCAACATGGCTGGCACAAACATACAAATAGCACAACATGGGAAATTGTGTTTATTCATTTATGTTGTCGTCTGCAACTGCATTCCCAGTTTTATCACTGGTAAGTATTTTGCATATGAATTTATAAATGCATTTAACGGGGCACTGACTATTTAAAACATTTGGACTTTTAATCAGTCGCTGGAACCCAAAATGATTTGACATTTGGCACCAGATTAGTGCCAAGTTGTGTCGCCTGATCAAACTCTTTATCTTTTGTAGCTTATAATTGAAATCCCACTAATCAAATAATGACCCTGGAGTCAAAATTGGCCTGATCCGTCACTTGATTTTACATAAAGTTAAATATCAAAAATATATATTATGATATCTTTTGTATATCTGTAAGTGTGTAATTGTATACTTTCCTCTACCAAATACATTTAAAGCATGACCCCTATTCTGGGTCACTTGATTTAACAAAGAGTCATATGAAAAAAACTTTAAAAATCTTTTCCTCCCAAACCCGAATGTCTGGAACTTAGATATTTCTTGTGAAGCATGATTTAGTGAGCCTATACCCAGTTTAAAAATATAATGACCCTGGAACTAAAGTAAAAGCTCACCTTAGAAGTCACTTGACATTCTTTACATAGGGAAAAATCTTCCGCTCTCGAAGCACAAGACTTGGAGCAAAAATAATGGTATGTGGCGTTGTGTAGTTAACTTCTACATGTATTTAAAATGGATTTCAGGCGGGCGATCTTAGGGCACCGTGGCCCTCTTGTGTCACAATTCTACCGTTTTTTGTCAGTGATTCTCTATTCTCGATTAAAATGGCATATAAACATAAAATTTTAATACTAAAAAGATTGTTTAATCATGAAAAAAATATGTGTCATTATTGATAAGTCTGCAAGAATAGCATTTTTAAGAAAAGTACAAAGTCTACCAAAAAAACAAAACAACAACAAAAAAAAAACAACAAAAAAAAGATGCGCATTTAACTTCAAAAGAAACCTATAAAAACGTTAAAGATTCTGACGATGCTGTGGAATATATAAAGGTCTAAATCACGACCGATTTATGAAAAATTAAAAAAAATATATGAGTGTCTTCAATATGACATGTATTTCGTTGCACGATAATTATAATGACTATCGGTATAACCCTTTTCTTCTAGGTTTGTAAAACAAACATAAAATATAAAAATCAAACGTAAAAACATTTTTTGTTTTTTAATAAACGTAATGTGTAAAAACAATTTTGGTTTGTAAATAAACGTAAAATGTAAAAACAATTTTGGTTTGTATAGTAAACAAACATAAAATATTTCAGCAATTTTGGTTTGTAAACAAGCGTAAGATGTTAAAAAACAAGTTGGTTGGTAAACAAACATAAAATGTAAAAACAATTTTGGTTTGTAACGAGACGTAAAATGTAAAACCAATTGGCAACAATTGTCGCATTTATATCTCATATTAAGTATTTACACAGTCATTACATTGTTATGTATGTTAAAGGTTAAGTGTTTCAAAACCGATAACTTTTATCTGTCGTTTATTTAAAATCAAATACCAGTCCGAGACCCAGTATTTAAAGGGTAAAATGTCGTTTATTTTGAAATCAGTTTGAAACCAAATCATTTGGGGGTAAAAAATCAGAGATTGGCAGTATCACCAAAGCTCATTATCTGAATACATATCGATCTCATAATATAGGAATTATTTGTATGTCCAATATATCCTTATTGGATTGTTGACATGTATGACCTTTCCATGAATCGGCTAATAATATAAAGTTTTCATTCATTATTGAGTACAAGACGGAATTCTATTGGACGACAGCACAGCAGTCAAACCTTTATTGGACGAGGTGCAACGTCAATCCGTCTAAAGTTCAGATAAACTCAAGTAATTTCTTGCCTAATGCGTAGCTTAATTAGGAGATGATTTAAATCAGATGAGGTGTAACCCGAGTCTGATAAAGGCTTTGAAATTGTGTACGAGTCCAATAGGATCAGTACTGTACTCGACTCAACAATGCATTATTACACCAAATTGTACTCAACCCTTTTTGACATTTTGACAGGGGTTTATTGCTTTGAGTACAATAGCTTTTAATATGCGTTTTTGGATTCTAAAAATGAAAACGAGGGTGAGGTATGATGTACATTTGATATAGATATTTTGGACTTAGAAAATGAAAATAAAAATATTTGGAGTCAGCGATATTCTTAGGTGCAAGGTGAAGAAGGAGTCAACAATAAATTAATCTATTTATTTCATCGTCCACATTTCATCATTGAGGTTAGTACATCCTTATTAGTAAGGCAGGTTACAAAACTCATTGTAAATGTAGATTTCCAAGTAAAATATATCGTGTATAAAATTCAATTTGAACGAAGAGATGTGCACTTTTATGCATTTTCATAACGGTGTATAAACATAAATTGATAGAAATGATGATATAATTATAAGTTTTCTGCAGCTGTAATATAAAGGCCTAAAGTTTGACAAAGGGGAAAAACGCTCGTCACCTAAAATAGTTAATGTAAAACGCAACAGTCCGCATTAGTGTTAAAAAGTGAAAATTTATTTAAACATTTTGCGACTGAAAATAATAAACAAAAATACAGTTTTGATATTTTTATGTAAGTAGCCACTCTACTATTGAGTGCCAACAGTGGGTCAGTAGTGGGTCGGTCTGACATTAAGAAACTCCCTCATTTCAAACGGAAATTATATGATTATGCTTATGATGACGTCGTGTCAATGGAAAATGATAATTCAGCTGAAAAAGGGTTCTTTTTTATTTACATGTATGTGATAAATAGAATAAATTATTTTACACTTTATGAAATATAGCCAACGTACTTTCAGCATTTATAACGTGGTCTTCCAAAAGCAATTATTATTAGATTCAATCTTAACTATAATTTGTGCATTGTTTTCATTTCTAAAGCCCAAAGGTTCATATCAAATCCATGTCAGACCACATCTTACATCGTTTTTATTTCTTGAGTGTCCAAAATCCATATCAAATCCTTATTGTAATTGAAGCAACAAAGTTGCACATGTCTTTGTGTCCAAAAAAATAGTGGTGTGAAATAAAGAGGTCATTAAACATGGTTATGGACAATACTGATTCTATTGGACTCGTGCACCGCTGCAAAACCTATATCAGACTCAGCTAGCGACTCGTCCAATATAATTTTAACAGCTGTTTACTCGTCCAATAGAATTCAGTATTGTACTCAACAGTAATAACCTCATAATTATTCGTGGACGCTCGCATTATATTTTTAATTATTTCATTCAATAAATTCAGTATTGACCCTACATTTATTCAATACCCTCTTTATATTTCAGCGTCAGCACAAAGAATAAACATACTTCCGACTGATCCAGCCGTGTGTACCGGGGACAATATCACATTTACATGTTCTTTAGAGACTACAACTAACTCTAAAAATCAAATTAAACCTGTGTTATCTTCGGAATCTTTAGTTGCCAGTACCAGTACGCATCTAGTAGATTACTGTACGGCTGAAATAACGTTGTTCAACGTTTCCCGTAAACATGATCACGTGGCAGTTTGCTGTATTCTTGACAACACCGACGAAATTTGTGACATGCTCACAGACGCCAGCTCTATTCTAAATGTGTACCGTAAGTGATTTAGCAGAAACTTTTATTTTTTTATATATTATTAATTGATTTTTTTGGGGAAGGATGGGGTGGGTTGGAGGGGGGAATGAGTTTCAGATCATCTTGTACCCATGTAAATTTTCAGTCAGTAACATGGTAACGTGAGATATTTTTTTTTTAATTTTGTTGTTTTCTTGTTTTATTTGCTTTTTTGTTGTTGTTTTTGTCCTTTTTTTGTTGTTTTCTGTGTGCTTTTAATAATAATTCAAATTTCAAGCCTTTTACTCATATAAAACATGTACCAAACATGATATCTTAAGGTGTAAGGAATGAGAGGAGTTTAAACATTTTGCCTAGCAAAGGTCCAAGACACTGCTGAGAAGCTTTACATTTTACCCCATGAAATGGCCGTTTTCATTGAAAAGCCTCCTGTAACAAGTTCAAACTGCTATGAAACTATGAAAAAGGCTTCAATACTGGTGAAACTTGGCACAAATGTTGACTAGACTATAGCCTCTGTAACAGCATGCTAAAATCGACCTGACAGGAGGCCATTTTTAGCCTGTCACGTGTCCAAAATTTTCTTGGCGATGACGCGGACTACCGCCCCCTTCTGACCCCCAAACAGAAGGGGGCACAGCCCCCTTCTGGCAATCCCCTGATGTATATTTGGATGGGGGCGGTGCGGAAAAAGTGGTCACTTTTTTAACAACATTTTTCAAACGAAAAACAGTGTTTTTGGCCTAAATAGGGCATTTTTTCACTGTTTTGAGGCCTCAAAAGGGGGAAGGGGACAAAAAGCCGTCAAAACACGCTTATATAAGGGAAAAGGTTAATACACCTTTCTTCGGGCATTAACATTTAAAGAATTACGCAGAAGAATTTTAAGCCAGCTATACACATCAAAAGTTTAAAAAGCCTAATTTAGAGCATTGAAAAGTATAGCCTAATTCCTAATTTTGAGGGGAAAAAAAGCCTAATAGGATCTTATAATTAGGATGTTTAACCGTCTAATTGTCAAAAAATAAACTCGTCATTGGAGAAAAATTCCTAATTATGATATTAAATAAGACAAATTAGCAGAAAAAAATTATAATAAGTACTTGGACACGTCTTAGTAGGTGACAGAAAATCCTAATTAAGACTTTTTAGCTTAGTCTTTTAAAACTTCTAATTATGAGGATCAGGGGAAATAACTTACACATGAATACCACAAACGATACAAAGCCAGAATTAGATTACTGTTTACTTTTTCAACTCCTTTTAAGGTAGGAGTAACTAAACAATTAGGAGTTATAGTTTTAGTAATATAAAATACAGAACTACTCAGGAGTATTTAATGCTAAAACAGACGTAAGTAACTTTTTATTAGAAGTTTGAAAAAGTTGTGTAGGATTGCATATGATATACATATAGTTGTACAAGAGTTAGTGGTTTTTATGAACATTAAAATTTTGCATTTTTAAAAAGATTTTCGATCGTGCGACCACATACACGCATCGAGGTCATATTGGAAGGAAAGTGACCGTGTGACCACATACACGCATCACAAGAATCCCCTTCTCATTCGAAAAGGGGACAAATACGTGTCCACCTCCTTTTTCAAAGGGCGGACAGCAAAAATATGCCATTCCTTATTGTTAATAATAAGGAGGCCATTTTGCTATAAATACGTCTTGAAATAGTTTATATACAATTGTAATTACGCAAACCAATTTGGATATAAGTTTTCGTCCTTTTTAAGTTCGGTATGCAATTTTAGAGAGATCTTATATAATTTATAGCAAAATCTTGAGTTTACATTATTTTCTACTTTTCATTTGATTTTCAGATATGATTAAGTAATTTAACATGAACGTTTCATAAACGTTTCATTTGCCATATATTTCACACTTTGTTTGCGGATATTAACCTGGGGGCATTTTTGTCAAATTAAGCATTTTCGTACTCGGCTTGACATACATGTACTATATGCAATAAAACGTCATTAAGTTTGATTTGTTCATAATTTGTCTGGGAATATTAAGGCAGAAATTTATAAAAATGGTCAGCCATCAGAACTGAACCAGAAATATTGTGCAGCCTGACTTGCCTCACCACTAGATAATTTATTTCGGTTCCAGCAGGGTAAATATGCAGTGTTGTTTCAGTTATCATATATACACAATTACTTGACGATTGCTGGCTGTGTAGGTTCAAGATCCGTTATAGGGCAAGTCGTGGTTTCCTTGAGCAAGAAACGTTACACTCATTCCTAAATCCTAGTTGGTTCCAGGAAATGATTTGAGATTATATTCTTAAGTTCATAGTTTCCTACATAAATTAAATACATTGTGTAGCATCCAGACAAACTGAACATTTCACGTATTAAAACCATTAGTTTAAGTCGACTAAACAGACATGAATTTATATATAAAAAAAGTATCTACCACTTTGCCTCTAGTCTCTTAAGGCTGTAACTTACTATAGATTTTTTATAATGAATTTTTTCACAGTAAACAACTCCTCACACACCGGCATTTTTCACTTATTATATTGTTTATATTATGTTTACAATATGTCCCCGACAGACACAGAAGCCGGGTTTGGCCGAAACGTATTGCAACGTGGAATTTGACCACTTATGCCTCGATCCATATTCAAGATTTGTTAGGCAGTATTTAGTTTTACCACGTGCACCTTTAATAACGGTAGCCCTGAACGGTACAACGGTAGTTCTTGTTACGAAGTGGATCTAATGAAAGGGAGGTTGCTACAAAGCATGCAATATATTGACCTTTTTTGCCTTGATGTGATTAACACTTGAATTAAATAAATTCCATTTGCCATCAAGTCTCAATGGAACAAAATTTGCCTAGAATTCACAAAAGAAGCTCCACTCCAATGGACTTTTTATCACATTTTAACTTTACATTCAAAGGTATAACGCAGTATAAAAGCTTAGCTTACACTTGCGCAATTCTGCAGAGTCGCTGGCAAAACGGACTTTTTCTGCGGGGTTGTGGTCATTTCTGCGGGGTCGTGTTAGGCAGCGGATCTTCTTTCTTTCTGCGGAGTCGTACATGTAATTAATAATGTTAACGCAAAAGAAGGTCTCAACGAGCGTTATATTGCCGAATATAAACAGATAAGTAATGTAATAAAATGAAAATCGGTTACGTTTTTCAGCTTTACCAATTGAAGTTCAAAACTTTAGTTGTCTGGTCGAAAACTATGACAGATCTCTGAACTGTTCCTGGAGCTATGGGACAATATATGACAGATTTAAAGAACCGGAAGTGGCGCTTCTATGGTATAGTCTTTGTATTTTGGTCTTCTCTCTCTTTTTTTTCTAATTTATCAGTGACAGAAGTTGAAATATTTCGCATTGAAAATATCAAAATTTATATAATACATAAGAGTCAGTGATTTATTTTTTTATCTCATATTGAAAGAAGAGAATGTTTTGTATTACTTATGTGAGGGTCTGTGTGGAATAAACAATAGTATGGTCAAACTAAATTTGGATTGCACAATTTTACCGCGTATTTAGTGAAACATAAAAAAATATTAATTCCAATGTATAAACTTATTTTATATATGTTAACTGCCTTTACATAACATGCTAGAAACATTGTATTATGTGTAAAGCAAATAAACTGTTTTGTATTGTGTTGTATTGTATTGTGTCGTATCGTATCGTGTCGTGTCGTGTCGTGTCGTGTTGTGTTGTGTTGTGTTGTGTTGTATTGTATTGTGTTGTGCTGTTTTGTTTTGTGTTGTATATTGTACTGTATTGTATTGCATTGCATTTCATTGTATTGTATTGTGTTTTATTGTATTGTATTGTAAATGGTGTTAATGGTGTTGCTTACTCATCTTGATGATTAATCTGTTCCAAGGAAAAGCGGTGATTCACCTTGGATGCACTGTCCATATCTTGACATAGAGAATGGCTTTTGCTTTTGGGAAAACACTGAAACTGACTTCACGTTTAGAGAGATTCAAATGATAGTTAGTTTGGAACAAACCTGTGGAAAAAGCGCCGAGTCGCATTTTTTAACAGATACTTCCAAAATAGGTAAATTCGAAAAAAAGCTTGTTTTAAGATAACAAACAATATTACGAATCTTGTAAGTAAGTTTGCTTTTGTCTGATAAGTTATTAAATGATTGAATTTGTATACGAGTGCCGTCCGTAACCTAGTTGTAATGGTTCGTTCTTGACTTCAAATCCCTTGCCCCTTTACCGCTGTTGGTTTGACTCCCGCAAGGGACTTTGGAAAACCTTCCCAGCTAGCTAAAGGTACGTCGGTGGTTTTACTCAGGTGCATCTTTGTGCATGGAATAATACGCGAATGAGGCTTCCACTAGATGCAGTTTTGGCGCGATTTAAAACACAACCATGCAAACCAACATGTTAATGAGTTATTAGTAACAAGTGGTATTTTCAAATCATAGTTCCTAACTAAGATATAGTGAATGAAAATTAATATGAATATAAAGATATAAAAGACGAAGCAACAATAAAGGAATGCGGCTCTATTTTATTTATCTAAAAGCTTTGCATTTACAGAAAAAATGTTTGTCAAAAAGTTTACAAATAAACCTCTAGACAAAGCATTGTCTTACATGGTTATGTGAAATTTTGATACATGTAATTGCTTAGACGATGCGTCACTAACAATGTATCAAACTTTAACAAAATAATTTTATGTCATTAGTAAAGCCGAATCCTGTTGTGGAATTTTCAAGTAATGTCATAAGTAGCACCTGTATTGAGGTAAAATGGCAATCAGCTGACATGACATATCCGAAAAGACATACTGTCAAAGTATCCGGCCGATGGAAAGATAACTGGGTAAGTTACAAGTCTTAAAGTATGATTCCAGTTACCTCCCATGGTGTTCATGTGATTGAATATAATTAGATTTTCAATTTAGTTCTTTTTCACTGACAATTTATGTGGATTCATTTTCAAAACTACAAAAAGATAAAAACTTGAGATAGTTTGCAATTCTGAAATCTATTTAGATATATTTTCATTATCCGGTATCAATTAGGTAGAAATACCAGAAGTCCGGTTTCACCTAGGTTGAAATACCGGTAATCCGGTATCACCTTGGTTGAAATAACGGTAATCCGGTTTTCATCTCGGTTGAAATATCGGTAATCCGATTTTCTTCAAGGTTGAAATACCGTAATTTGGTTTCATTTGCGGTTGAAATACCGGTTATCCGATTTCACCTCGGTTGAAATTTTGTAGACTTCCTAATACATGTATATATGTTATTATCCTGAATATGTGCCAAGCTTTAAACTTACATTTTAGGAGTTTCAATTTAACACCACTTTCATTACCGAGCAGCAGACACAAACGAGAAGACTATGTGACCTTCACCCCTACACGAGCTACACTGTGACAGTCAGCACACTTCCAATAGGGAACCAGTCCGGTTATAATAGTGATCCGAAATCGGTTGTCGCGGTTACGTATACTGATAGTAAATATATTTTCATCTTACCCCTAAGTCTGTTGGATTCCATTGCCACTAACATATAGTACCAGATTAGTCTGTAGATCCGTCGTGCAGTCTAACAAAGCTTTAAAATAGACTGTACCAAATTCAAAGATTGGCAAATTCAGCCGTTTCTGGCTTAAAAGACTTTTCAGATTTTTGTAATAGAAATTTAAACATAGTGTGTATACCCTTTTGTATAATTATTTATACAGGGGGGGTTATTTAGCTGCACGGCGTCCTCTAATTGTCCTATATAGTGATGAGCAATTTTCATCACTTTGTGACTATTCCGCCAGGTCTTTGGAAACTGTTACCAAACATCTTCTATACATTTCATTATATGCATGTAATTATGTCTAAAACTAATACCTATGAAACACAAGTTTATGTTGATATTCTTATGGGCTAAAGTATATCATAATAACTGTTTATTATTATTAATGCTTTTAAATCAATTGTGATTTTAAGAACCAGCTTCGAGTCCAAAAGTTATACAAGGGGGTTACCACTGGCATCCCAGGGAATGCGAAGGAAACAACAAGGAAAGGCGTGTGTGCATATTTTGGAAGGTAACAGTATTCCGACAATCCAAATTATTAGACACCATTTAAAGTATGGTAAATAGTATAGTAAATTATTTTGAAACATTTGCATATGAAAGATATAATACTTTGGTATTTGTGAGACTGTTGGAAATTCATAAATTTCCTAACGCCATACTGTCTTTACTTCTTAAATGTTGCATAAGAAAGCTTTCAGCTTAAATGTCGATCGGACCTTCCAAATTTTTCGCTACGCCATAAATGGATATTTAGAATAATAAAACAGGCAAGTGCAAAACACGATCCCACCACCAAACAAAAGAAGTGTGTGTGTGTGTGTGCGTGCGTGCGTGCCTGCGTGCTTGTGTGCGTGCGTGCGTGCGTGTGTGTGTGTGTGTGGGAGGGGTATTAGATGTGGGCATAAGCCACATTTTACCTGCCTCTGTCCCCGCACTCCTAGGTCAATATGATGGTTAATATTTGTCGACAAAATAGTAATGGATTTTTCAAATCGCAGTCCTGGGTTACAACTAACTGTTATTGAGTGGTGTATGAATTCTGATAAATAATCTTGCCCGCGTTGTCGGAACAATACTTAGTCCCTTACACTACGTTGCAATCGGAACGTCTTCGGCTATTATCCATAATAAATGACAGAAATCAAAGGGCTGCAAGCTCTGTGGTATTTTCTGATCTTTGCAATCTAAATCGCACTGTATATCTGTATTATTTTCCTGAATAAGTTTATTTTTATGTACTATAATTCTTCTTGCAGGGCACCAGAGTTTGATACATACGGAATTTTGCATGACTAGAGTTGCATCAAAAATCATTATGTTCATTTGTATGACAGCCACACTTTATCCTAGCATAACGTGGCTACTTCCTTAACAAAGAAACTTTAAAAATAAATTTAAAAAATAGTTGCCTTGAATGGGATTTGAACCCCAGACCTCTGACACTCTAAACGAGCGCGTTACCCCTGCACCACGGAGAAGTTATACGAAGGGCCTGAATAAAATCAAGTAATACTAAATTAAGAATTTCCATTGCATTTCGGGTTTGTAATCCTTATTAATTTCGAGGTATTTTGTTCACGATAAACCTGTTGTTTAACATTGGTGTAAATAATTTAGCAAAAATCTTCTCGCCAAAACAGTCCGACATGTATATATTCCACTACTCGACAGTCAGATTTATTTGTGTAGTATTCGGTAATCGACATCGCTAAAAATAGCATTTTCATTGATTAAAATCATATCCATCCGCGTAATTTGTGAATGTACATTTATTGACAATTCTATAACTCGAAGTTACTTTTAAACTTTGAATGCGTTGTAATTTGTTGGATACTTGTAACAAAATAAAACTATTTCTTTTAAATCGCTAGGTTTAAGCTGTTTTAAGAACTACTTGTTGTTAGGTTTGTCGTGAAACCGCTGTGTAAGAGATTGAATGTTAGCTTTGTATTTCCTGATCTTCGATCAGAAAATACAACTATTAAACGTCAAGATTATTCAATGAGAAATGACGTTACAAACGTGCCAGTATTATAAATGTATTTCGATCAGTCATAACAAAACACTCCGGATAGATGATGTGAAAGGTCAAACGTCATTTGCAGTTGAAATATACAACATTCAACTGGAAATTACGTCTGTCTAATCAAATACATGAGATGGAAACAAATCATTGATCTCAAAATGTACTCTAAAAACAAACCAAAGGAGAAAAGACGTTTTATCACGAAAATCAGTTACATTAATTTATTTAGAATATATGTAAAGCAAAATGTTTTTAGAAAGTTAAAAAAGAACACTATGTTTTTGAACATCTGTAGTAATAAAATATTTCTAAATATATGTGCAAAAAATGTTTTGTGATAGTATATCTCTAAATATCTGTGACAAAATATGTTTTGTATATCTGCAGGTACAATTTGCTTTATATATCTTTAGATATAAAAAGGATTTTGACATATTCATATAAATAAATATTCAAACATTGATTGATAAATTTAGATACATAAAGTCGATACATTTACACCGTAGGGAACGTGTTACAGTATCGCGCTTTCCGATTACAGTATAGAATTTTAAAGATGGAGGATTATTTGTGGCGAAGACAGATAGGTGATTTTATTCCGGTCCATACTACAAGTAGTTCAGTTTCTTAAAGATGTTTTTGTAATTTGCTTATAAGGAACTAGATCAGGTATCTAGCCATATATTTTTTCAGACCCTGCACCGCAGTTTTATCTCTACATATTGTCTCATAAATGTGCTGATTTGACAGATTGAAAATTTGAATCGAGAGACCAACGCATTTTTCTCCAATTCCGACATTATTTAAGCATGTCTACAAAAAGTAAACCTACATAACATTAGTCCTTTGTGTTTAGAAACGTTTATAAAAGTAAATGACCAGTTGAACCTATTTTCTTGTTCGTCAAATGCGTTTGAAAAATAAACAATGTTACAGTATAGAGCGAGGTGAATTGTGCAGGGTTACAGTATAGACCCAGCGATTTTTATCTGATTTTGTTACAGTTTATACCCAGATTTCTACGGAATGCCGTTAGGGCCATCGCCTATAAATGTGTTGATCTAAAACGCGATAGTCGATAGTACGATGGTGGAAACGCGAAATCACGAAACTACGATGGTGAAAACGCGAAAGCACGATGATGAAAACGATAGTTTATCGCGCTTTCATCATCGTAGTATCGTACTGTCGCGTTTTCATCATCGTGCTTTCGCGGTTTCATCATCGTGCTTTTGCATTTTCACCATCGTAGTTTCGTGATTTCGCGTTTTCATCATCGTACTATCGACTATCACGTTTCAGATCAACACATTCATAGGCAATGGCCCTAACGGCATTCCGTAGATTTCGGTTACAGTTTAGACCTCAGTATTTTCTATATATACTAGGTAAAATGTATAAATGATGATATTATAGACTTTTAAATTAAGCTTATTGGCCCGATGACTATTCGTCCGTCTGTTGTACACATGTGTGTCCAATGACATCCGCTCAGTAACTACTTGGCCAGATTTGATGAAATGCACATGAATTTCTACCAAAGTTGTTCAAATGGTTTCGGTTGCAATCTTGGATACGAAAACCAAAAATATAGATTTTTAAAAAAGGCAATATAAATCATTCTTCTCCCGAACCAAAAAGCATTCGCTGTGAAGCATTTTGCAAAGAAAGATAAAATCATGACCCTGGCGTCATTTCGAATGCTTCCTTGTTGAAATGGGAATTATTTTGTCATTGTTGAATTAAAAGTCGTTTTTTTATTACAGACATTCTGTACGGAAGTTTTCATGTTTCTGAAAAGGAAAATGATATTGAAAGATATCAAGCAAAAATGACAGACAATTACACTATATTTTCCATAGAGCCTGATGGAGGTACATAATAGTGGCAGAGTCGGGTTAAGGTCTTTCTTCTAAGTAAAACGTTTACTGGGATCCATGATACAAAAACATGTAATTTCAAAAAAAAAATGTTCATGCTTTTTATGTAGTTCTTCATCGTTATAAATCAAACACTGCTTCAGCAATACACGAACAATTATTATTCTGTTGCATTGCAAAAAATAGGGAAAATGTGATCTCTAAAGAAAGAAAATGCTTCTTTACTAGCTTCTATAAAATACTTTGACTTGAAAGTGAAGACATATGAAGGGTATTTTCAACGGAAAATAATTATGATTAAATATTGGATTAAGTTATTATCGCTTCAAGAAAAGTACTATCCTTTTTAAAACATATTCTATGTTAAGAATGGACAACAAGCAGTTATTGTAGCTTAAAATTCACTGTATACAGACACAGAATATCTACATTTTCATTCAAATAAAAAATATGTTGATCTTATCATTTTATTTCTTCAGTTTGTTTTAGTTTTGATTTTATATTACCAGTACATTATGCATGATTAAAAAGACAAAAAAAAATAAAAATAAAGTAATACATGTCATACGCTAGTTTTTGAACTCCGATTTCTTGGGTGACAGTCGTCAACAACATCCACTAGGCCAGAGAGTCTATAACTAAAAGTATTGTTAAAAATAAATTCTACCGTTAAAACTATCTGTAATCTTTTGTCCATCAATGTGAAGTAATCTTTTGTCCATCAATGTGAGGTTATCTTTTGTCCATCAATGTGAGGTTATCTTTTGTCCATCAATGCGAGGTAATCTTTTGTCCATCAATGTGAGGTTATCTTTTGTCCATCAATGCGAGGTAATCTTTTGTCCATCGATGTGAAGTAATCTTTTGTCCATCGATGTGGGGTTATCTTTTGTCCATCGATGTGGGGTTATCTTTTGTCCATCAATGTGAAGTAATCTTTTGTCCATCGTTGTGGGTTTGTCTTTTGTCCATCGTTGTGGGTTTATCTTTTGTCCATCGTTGTGGGTTTATCTTTTGTCCATCAATGTGAAGTAATCTTTTGTCCATCAATGTGATGTAATCTTTTGTCCATCAATGTCAGGTAATCTTTTGTACATCAATGTAAAGTAATCTTTTGACAATCAATGTGTGGTAATATTTTTTCTATTCGGTTAAAAGGTGGTGACTACCGGTAAAATGTAAACAAAACAATGTTGTATTTTGGCTGGATTTTTATAGCGATGTAAATGTTAAATTCGTATAATTGAGTTACTGTTGCATTCATGAAGGGTATGGAATATTATTAAAATATGTAAGTTGGAATTTGAATGTTGCATAAAGAGGTTATCTTGAACTTTTAGAAATTGAATGTGTGGAGAGACTTTTTGTGAGCAATTTGTGATCGCAAAATAGCCTGAGGGTCTACCGTCCGTGACAAAATTTGCGGTCACGCATGACTGAGCCGCTATCGGCTTTAATATGCTTTTGTTGAACAGTGTGATATTTATATATTTATAGAAGATTTATGTCGAAATGATTTATGTATCATAATGAGCTCAAATGAAAGCAAGACAACGCTCTTCAACTGTTAGTGAATTAGATACCAGTGACAATATTGACAATCAACCTGTTTACTCAGTTTTTAAACAAAAATGTAAAAAGACTAAAACTAATAAGTAAAGCACAGTAATCCAAAACCTCAATCTAATAGCACGCCCAAAAATAATTGCATTATGGACGACAGCTCGGTGTATAATACTTCTGCATGTTTAAAGGAAACTTTATACGAAACAAAATTTGAAAAGCAGCTGGCAGACATCAGTATTCAATTATCAACACTCCTATCAAAAGATGATACCACTTTTATAAAGAAAATTATCAAAGATAAAATGAATGAAATGAAAGTAAGTTAATGACTAAGAGAGTAGAGGTTCTCGAACATGACGTCCATACACAAGCTCAGACAATTGAAAAACTAGAACGAAAGATTTAAAAAAGATGAATTTTGCTGTGAAAAATTTGAAAACGAGTCCGAACAATACAGTCGCAGAAATAGTGTTCGAATCTTTGGCATTACGGACGATTGCAAAAATTATTAGACACAATAAAAAGCAAATCAGATCTTGTTCTGCAGAAAGCAGATATTGACATCAGCCACAGACTTGGAAAATACAAAGTCGGCAAGCATAGGCCAATTATAGTTAAATTTGTAAGACGCCAAACAAAAGTCGAACTTTTCAACAGGTCAAAACACCTGAAAGAACATAAGATTTATGTCAACGAAGATTTGACGAAAATGAACGCGGACATGTTGGCATCCTGTCGTGTAAAAGACAAGTCAAATGTTGAAAAAGCGTGGTCTTTTGAAGGAAACATTTACGTGAAATATGCATCACAGGGATTTGCGACGCAATTTCAATTAAACTACCGCTATTGGTTAAATCTATCGTGGCCGGAAAAGGATAAAACACGTGCTCAGGATTTAAGCAAAAGCCAAGGATACTCATTTTAAATAAAAGGGCTGCAAGCTCTGTGGTTTTTTCCTGATCTTTGCAATCTAAATCGAACTGTATTTTCCTGTATTAGTTTATTTTTATATACTATAATTCACCTTGCATGGCACCGAGATGCAGCGACTGCGTTTGGATTTTTTACTTTAACAGTTTGAGTTTGATACATACGGAACTATGCATGACTAGAGTTGCATCAAAATTCATTTATGTTCAATTTTTTTGACAGCCACACTTTATCCTTTTATCCTCCCATATCGTGGCTACTTCCTTAATAAAAAAAAGTTGCCTCGACTGGGATTTGAACCCCAGACCTCTCACACCCTAAACGAGCGCGTTACCCTTGCACCACGAAAATGTTTAACGAAAACAGTCTGAATAAAATCAAATAATTCTAATTTTAGAATATCCATTCCCACAGATATATAAATCTTATATTTAGCTCCACGGCAATCCTTATTAATTTCGAGGTATTTTCTTCACGATATACCTGTTGTCTAAAATTTATGTAAATAATTTAGCGAAAATCTTCTCCCCAAAACAGTCCGACATGTATATATTCCACTACTCGACAGTGTAATACGCTCTGAGGTATTCGGTAATCGACATCGCTAAAAATAGCATTTTTATATTCATCCGCGTAAATGGTGAATTGACAATTCTATAAGCCAACGCTACTTTTAAACTTTGAATGCGTTGTAATTTGTTTGATACTTGTAACAAAATAAAAATATTTCTTTCTTTAACATCACTAGTTTTAAGCTGTTTTGAGAACTACTTGTTGTTAGGTTTGTCGTGAAAATTCTGTTTCAGAGATTGAATGTCCGCATTGAATTTTCTGATCTGCGATCAGAAAATACAAAAACCGAAAGGTTGCTATTGACTACGTTGTATTAAACAGCCGTAACACTACCATCCTTAAACAGGTTCCATCAAATCGAAAATAAAGCTTATTGTGTTTGTTGCAGCCTCTTGTAGAAGTAGAAAAGAACGGGAAAATAGAAAGTCTACCATTCAAAACAAACGCTGTCCATGGTAGCAGACGACAATATCAATCTAAATTTGACCATGATCAAACGTACGGTTGCCTTGACAACGCGCCCTGCAATGACAGCTTCAACTTTACCATTTCTGCAAGAAATGTAAACGGAACTTCTGAACGCTGGTCAAGTTTATCGATATCGTCTGCTTCGTCAGGTAAACCACTTGCATAATCGAGTTCCTTTGTATTCGATTCATCATCAAAACATTCACTTACGATTTGTGTATGTATTGCTTGCAATGTATGTAGAGTTATGGCTGCATTTCCGCATTTTATTGTGTAAAAGCCTTTGCTGAACATCATGCACTTCTGGATAAAACCTCGATAAAAGTAGTTCCTCATTTTGCAGTATTGTTACATTTTTTAGTCTGTTTCTTTTCTTTTTGTTCGACTTTTAAACCCCCTGAACTAGATGTTTTCAAAGATATTTATTTTTTCTGAATAGTGCCTATGGCGGGTTTACCTTATTTTTACGTCTGATCTTTAACCTTTAAAAAATCACCACCAACAAAAAACAGCTGTAAAAAACAACAACAAAAACACCTAATACACATACTAGTATTAGTTCTTTTCTGTAGTCAGAATGTGCGTCTTTCAAACCTTGCAATATGTTTTTATTGTTTTAAAACAATCAGAAGCTATCATTTTAACTACATGTACATTGTTTGAGTAGGTTGTTTGTTGTTGTTGTTGTTGTTGTTAATGATAGTGGTTTCCTTTTCATCTTTTTTCACTCAGAGAATATCTTATACGAAGATATATATACCTATTTTACTTGTATTCCTTAAGTCCTATACCTTAAGTCCTATTTTACTTATATTCCTTAAATCATATTTCATTGTATGCCTTACGTCCATTTTTACTTGTATTCCTCTTTTATATGTGTCCCTTAAGTCCTGTTTAATTTGTATCCCTTAATACTTATTTTACTTTATATATACTTGTATACTTTAAGTCCTATTTTACTTGTATCCCTTAAGTCAAAGAATATTATTTTATTTGTATCCCTTAATTCCTATTTTGCTTGTATACCTTAAATCTTATTTTACTTGTATTCTTTAAGTCCTATTTTACTTATATACCTTATGTCCTATTTTATTTGTACCCCTTAATTCCTGTTTTACTTGTATACCTTTAAGTCCTCTTTATTTGTATGCCTAAAGTCAAAGTTAACTATTTTACGTGTACCTTTAAGTCATATTTAACTAGTATCCATTACTCATATCTTGTTTGTATAATGTATCAACATATTTAAATTACACAAAAAAATCAAACATTATATATATATATATATAATGTATATATTATATTACACCATATTATTTTATTTTACAATTCAGGTATGTTACAACCAGCATTTTACGTGGAGGCGGACATCATGAATAAATTATACTTTAACTTAAAACCTTCCGAAACCACGAAAGCGAGCAGCGCCCTGGTTTCCTGGTGTCATAACCACAATGGTGACTGTCAGGTATAACAAATAACCTTGAATTTTGAATAAAATTGGTGTTTTGTACCGTAACAAGGAATGCTTTGCTTTTAAAAGGAAACTTGATACATTATATGTTACTATTAAGTGCGTTGGTTACAAATAAGTCGGTCATGGACGCATTCTACTTGATTGTATAACTATGCAAATAGGCAAGGTGAAATCCTACACGGAAAAGAAATATTGCACGAGGCAGCTGGGCAACTGATGAAGTCTATTAAAGCGAAACATGTGTTTTTATAAACTGTGTTTATTTGTGATATTTTTATATCACATTAAAAGCCCATTTTGCCCTAGAAGTGCTTCATTTTAATTTCTAAAAGGTATTCTTATATAGTTTCCAACAAGTTACTCATTGGCCAATTATTCTTCTGTTTTTCTTGGCACTTGGTACATTGATAGTGATTGAGTACTTTGTATGTAAGTCAAAATACTACTTTTTTACATTTTGCTACCATTATGATTTTTTTACATTTAGCGCTATTTTCTTCATGTAACAAGCATCTAACATGCTTTCTATCTATTATTTAAACGTTATAAAACTCATGTTAGACTTTTATTAAGAAGTAAATATTTATTCATTTCTGTAGCATTATGTGCCTTTAAAGGCGTACAAATAGATCTATGGCTAAGCCTATTAAATGATAAGAAACCGCCCTAGAAATGTTGATATAACAGTGGTCATGAAACCTCGATATATTTTTTGTTAGCAAACCACAGTTTATGTCAAACTGCTCACGGTGGTTTAATTCACCGACACTCGGTAGTCAGACTCCGATCCCACCATGCTCCTCCCTTTTCAACTCTGAAACTTATTACATTTTAATACAAGTGGGGCTCAATCATAAACGAATTTCGATTAAACTTCCACATGAATGAAAAAAAAATCTTATTTACCAAAGTCTCAAAAAAGTAAAAATTGCAGACACAGAACGTAAACAAATATCCCCGGCAATTAAAACATTTTTATGTACACTTGTTATTTTCCGGTGTCAACCGATATAATATGTATATTGAATTTCCTTTCAGATGGTTTTAACTTGCATTATGATACGGTAGCAAACTTTGTCCAAAAATGTTTTTCATCTAGACTCAAATTTAAAAAAAAATAAGAATTTATTCACTGTTTTCATTTAATATGCTTTAGTTTCGTATTATTACAGTCTTTTGTTATTTGTGTTTGCTAATCATAATAATGTGCTTTACATCTTGTACAATATCAGTATTATGATTATATGCCTGTAAAGGCCATTGATTCTTTACTATTCTATTTTGTTCCGTTCCGTTCTATTCTATTCTATTCTACTATTCGTTTCATGATATTGCTTATTGTCCAAGCAATACGAGATTTCATCGCTTATTGAGCCGGGACACAGACAGTACTCAGAATGCGAAATGTTAAACCGCGCATTATTTGGTCGTTTAAATTTTCGGAGTCTGAAATATTTTCTTTATTGTATCTTTAATTTTTTTAATTCATGTGAAAAATAAAATAAACAAGCCTAAGATTGGCACAGGTGTCACATTCATGTTTCGATAATCTCAGAATATCAAGTGACCGTAGAAAACAGCACGTGACTTCGAAATGGAAGCTACGACAAAGAAAACAGTTTTTAGTGGCAGATACGATGACATATTCCAGCAATGACATATTGCAAGTGTTCAATTTGTTTCGGTTTTTCAATTTGTTTAGACATAAAACGTTCATTTAACATTCGCTTCACTAACCACTTGTTGCGTACATGACCGAACACATCCGCATAATATTATATTTCTTCTTTGTGAGTACAGTGGTATGTGCAGAGAAACAAAGGGGGGTCACTGTGTAGGAGTTTGACCATATGCCAAATTTCATTTTAATATATGATTTATGATATTGAATAAATTTGCAATATTTGTGTACATAGAAATTATTAACGTCTCGATTGTCCAATCAAAATTGACGTTATAATATCTACATCAAAAAAATGTTATTAATTTAAGAAAATGTTGTTTTTTTTAAATAGAGTGACTCTGAAGTTCAGTGGAAGACATTTTCTTGGGGTACAGAACAGGTTGTTGTGCAGCTTGAGTTCAATGAAAACCCACAAGACTTTCTGTATGGTGTTAGTGCGGTGTATGAAGAGGGCAGTAGTGGTTTAGAGTGGCAAGAATGCGTATATTCCAAACACAAAGGTTTGTCATATTTGGAAATTTAAAAAAAATATATGTAAAATGAAAAATACACCTCGTTTTTTATAACCTTATTTTATCCAATAAAAAGGGGCCATCATCTAGGGTGCCAAGGTAATCATGAATTTATCAATTTATAACTTCTGTATATATATGTTTACCAAACATTATTTTGTTAGGTCAGTATGGGATGGTTCCCGGCCCATATTGAGCATTTGGGCGGGGAGAATAAATGGGGTCAACCCTATTGTCGGGACCACAAAAGGATTCACCGGATCTGAATATGAAATATGTGTACGAGATCTCAACATACTAATTTACATTACTAATAATATGACGCACTGTACTTCAGATAAATTTGTTATATACTAGACGCGGACTTCTATTCTGAGTTTCAAAATAAAGAGTGCACTTGATATTAGGGAAGTTTTGTATATTTATTTAAGCAAAATATTTGTCATATTTGGTATAACATTATTCAGAAATGTTTTGTCACTACATGATGGTTTTCATTTAATTGAAATTTGATTATTATAAGGACTTTGGTTCCGCGTAAACAGATGAGGGATGGGTAATAAAAGTTGCAGATATGTGCCTTTTGTAAATACATTTTTGCCATTGGGTATTAGATTATTGAATGAAACATCATTAAAATCCCAGCCCATATGACGTTGTAGTTTCGAAAACTTTCATCGGTCCATCCATGAGCTCGAGGTACTAATTAGTGGTCACGTAAGAAGACAAACAAGTGTTAAAAATCACAATTCTGCAACTTACCTTTCGCTACACGAAACCAAAACTCTGATAATTTCAGAAAGAATCAAACCGTTGTATGGTCTATACAATTTGTAAATTTTGTTACTAAATTTACCACTATTTTGCTCATGTATGTATACAGAACTTCAAAGTTACCAAGTGCACACTTTCTTTTGAAACTGAGTATAGTTTGCTATTCGTGTATTAAATTAAATTATAAAAAAAAATATTAATTTTTATATTCTACAGTTTTATCATGAAATTATATTTAGTACACGTGAGAAAATGCTTTATTCGAGGTAACATGAGACACTCGGGATAATTTCCTGTTTATATAACTGATATTTTACGGTAACACAATCAAATAAATGTCCAGGAAACACACAGGATGATCACCACAAAAAGAAAATAAACTACTCTAATTAAAAATTTTGATTCCCGTCAAGGGGTCTTTATTTGGGAAACCCCACATTTTCTCAAAAAAAAATAATATCTGATACTTCTCATAATGTAACAATTGGCTGCCCGGACATGTGCAGTTACTCTGAAGTTTCTAGTTTCATTATTTTGGTATTTGTTATCATTTCTTTTTGTATTGAAAACTTAAAAATAACATACTTATGCATTCGGCCGGGTATCTTTTGTAAAAGATACTTCTTGTTTTCTTTGATTTCAGAGCCAAGTAGGGAACCTGGCAACGTGGTAATAGCAAATGGACCAATGGATAACTCGCTCTTAGTTTCCTGGGATAAACTGAACTGTAAACCGGGCGAACCATATATTGCTATATACAATGTTTTGTACATGAATTTAGATGACGGAGTGCAAAAATGTTTGTATAGAAATTTAGATAAACACAATATACATATTCTAACTTAGTTTAGTCTATTGTTTTGCAATATTGACTGAGACTCACTAATTTTCGAAAGCTTTTTCGTTAGTTTCCGTAATTTATTACGATATACTATTAGAATAGGAAAGTTTTCGATGCTTTATTTTATACGAACGTCCTAGTGGTAAGTATTATAGCATAGCAAGTGCGAAATAACAAACATGTTCGAATCCTGAACAAACTTTTTTCAGATTTCTTTATTTGTTTTTAATTATGTGCAGCATTAGTGGATGAATCATTTCTTTAATTTCTTGTGTCTTTTCTTTGAAAAATCATAACTTTGGTATATACATTGTAGATGTTTGTGTAAATTTTCATAACTTCAATTTGTACAAGAGGTGATCGGCATGCACTTTATAGTCAAGTTTCGAAAATTATAATAAAAACAACAACAACAACTACAACAACATAAAAACAATGTTTCATTAAGATTCGAACCTTAAACGTCAGTTTGATACTAAAAGCACTAAGGCTAGTTAGGCAAGTGTTGTGTCAGTAACTGTAAGTGATACATAAACCATGTTTACCGTTATGCCATACTTTAAAATCCATATGATATACTTCGGAATCCAACTATTACCGACAAAAGGTCCACCACAATTGTCTCCAGTCCTGTCCCTAGCAGGTATACATTCTTCTATACATAATACATGGTCTTTTTGTGTAGTTTTGTGTATTTCCTGTCATGCAGACAAAAGATATACAAAAAACTGACTTCAAAACGCATATGTATCATTACATAAGCTCAAGGGTTTGCAAAACCAAATAAAAAAGAAACAAAGAAACATTTAAATACGCATTTAAAACGCACAATTATAATATAGTTTTCAGTGAGGGGTCATCGCGTTTTTTCTGAGAATGAACACGCACAGTACGACAGTACGATGATGACAGTACGACAGTGTAGTGGCAAAGCGCGACAGTACGATGGCGAAGCACAACAGTACGATTGTGAACCACAACAATACCATTGTGACAATACAACAGTTAGATGGCTAAGCATAGCAGTACGATGGTGCCAGACTATCGTAGTGTCGTTTTGTCACCATCGCACGGACGTAATCGTACTGTCACCCTCGCACTCTCGTACTGACACCATCGTAAAGTCGCACTTCGCCATCGTACAGTTTGGTACTGTCTGCGGATTTTCTTTTTTTAAGAAAACCCACTGACCTAACGGAAAAAAC